GAGGGAGGATAGAGCAGATCAAACTAGCTGAAGCACATTCTGTGAGAAAATACATATATAACTGGATAGATGTGAGCATGAAAGCATATAAGATTAATTAATATGCACAAGTAAAAGCTCATTCACAAGTGAAGAGAAGCGAAAGCGAGCCAGATCAGGAAATGATGATTGAGGGTATATTAATTTGCGTATCTAAACGCATATATGATTATGCCAGAACGAATGCATGAGTAAGAGTATTAAAAAGGATGCTGAATGACAAATACGAAAAGTTCAATTGCATGAACAAAAGATTAATAGCAAACTTATCCAAGATATATAGTGAAATCGACCATAAAGGCATGGATGCTGCTCATGTGCATGTAGAAATGAGAGATTTCAGAACAGAGAAATAAGGGGATAAAATATATTTAACAGTGAGCGGATGTATGCAGAATAAGAGCACTTTGCACTTGAAATTGCCAGAAGGGGAAGCATAACGCGAAAGAAAACCAGAAAGCGATAGGCAGATTGGAGAATTCTGACAAATCCATTTTGGAGATATTTAAGGAGTGTATGAACGACTCGAAAGCAGCAGTAGTAGCAACATATATAAGAAACTTAATCCTAACTTAGTCAGAATAATGTACACATAGAAAGGTTTGGCAGGTCAGGGAACGAGGCTAATAGGATCAAATCAATAGAAATAAAAAGAAAAATAATTAAGTATACCAAGTGATCTAGGCTAGATAGCCCTGTGGAAGAGAGGTATGTGCTTCAAAAGAATTTGTTCATAGATCCAGTGAATCAAAAATAATGTGATGCCGGTACATTGGATAAAATGATTCAACGAGCTTATAATCGAATTAATCCCAAGTTTGCTCCCTCCACCCCGATCGGAAAAATTGACATTATAATAGACAAATCCTGATCACATGTTGTACGAGACATATATGGGATCAAGACGATCATTCACAAAGTTATCGCGCAACAGAATTCGTTGTTTCTCACCCTGTGGACTAAGAGGCACCGTTCCAGGGTCGGTGACGACGACGACGCCGACAATGAGTTGGTGCTCAGCTAGAACATGAGAGGTTATTGGATGCACCAGATCCATAGCTTCGTGTTCCTCGCCCAAGAGTTCTACGACGACTACCAAAAGACTGGACCAGGTGAAGACAGCACTGAATGGAGTAATATGTAAGATGAAAATAAGAAAAAAAGACTGGATCACCACCAATACCAGGATAATAGAATCCCAAAATGGCTTTTGAGTAAGTTGAGCTTCTATGAAATTTTATCCCGACTATTTTTATTTAACATCCAACCTAGGCTAAACAAACACTATAATCGTATAGAAGTTGTTTAAACTTGTTTTCGCAACTCGGTCATATTGGTAGGAAGACTAAGAGGAACGCATCTAGTCCGGAGTCCATTGTATGCATCATGATTTCCAGAGTAGGACCGTGGACGTGGTACATTCCCATAAGTTTCGCCGGCATCGGCAGTGAGTCTCGCCATTCGTAGCACCATATTAAAACTCGTCAAAGGGACAAGTGAAGCTCATCCTTTGACCAAACGTGTGATAAATAATTATAGTATCTCCCCTTCTGGCCTATTCACCTTTCCTATATCCTCCTATCATGCCTTCTCTGTTACAATTCTTTACCCTGCTTATTTTTAATGTACTGTGGTGTGCTCCTTCAAGTGGCATTCATGAAAACCCTTCACACTCCACACTGTCTTTATCACCCCATTCACCCTTGTGCTAAGAATGTTAACCAGAGTCTGTCATATTGTTACGTAATCCTTCCCTGGGTCCTATTAAAGTCTCCCTCTTGCACCGTCGAATCCGTCTGCTATCTCCCTGGTACATGTATTTCACTTGACCCCTACCCCCCCATCTGTGCTATTCGAGGCGTAATTAACCCACTCCTGCGTCGGGGTGACTAATTCGAGGCTAAAGCCTCAGAGTAAGTCTCATGGTCATGCCTTTGCTACATGGACCACGTCTCTTGTAAAACCTACTGTTAGCCAACTAGCCGCAAAATAGAAAAATACCAAGTATATGACTTGCCATGCCCTAGTTGCTTGTGTGCCAACCCACAAATGTTGTGGTAATGCTGGCTTTGTTTAGGTCAATGTTGAACCACAACGTTTGTGGGTTGACACACAAGAGGGTAGGGCATAGGAAGTCATAGAGTTGGTATTATAGATAGAAAGAGGATAGAAACAGTGGAAGCTAGAACTAGTTGGCTAACAAGAGTCGTGATTCAAGGATCACGTCTATGGTCAAACACGTCTAATGTTAGCCAAATAGCTTTAGTCTTTCCTGTTTCTATTTGTAATACCATGTTCATCGCTTCCTACATCCTAGTCTCTGTGACAGGGAAGGCATGATAGGAGGATATAGGAAAGGTGAATAGGTCAAGGCAGAAGGAGAGATACCATAACTGTTTAGCACACGCTTGGTCAAAGGATGGGCTTCACTTGTCC